ATACTGAAAAATAAAAGCTAATAAGTTTCAATGATGATAAAAATTCAAAATTTTCTTTAGAATTATTATAAACATACTTTCAATTGTACACCGGAAAGAGAAACAGATTTAATGTTCAAATAACTTGTATCAAGGATAACCTCGTTGACATCATTAGTAAGTGTAACAAGCTTAAGACTGACAACTGATTCAATAATTTTGCTTTCAAAATCAACATTAAAATTTAATTCAAGGTGTGTAGTCTTGACCTCATTAATATTTGAAAATGTATTTGGATCATAAATCATAACGAATTTTATTGTTCTATACTAAGTTAAATATGATCACAGATCTTAAATATGTAAATTTTCGGATATTTCACTTCACGGGATGCACGGGATCTCACACTAATTGGCTCTCTTTTAACATAGTATGAAGCTTTTTTAGTTAAATTCTAGATCTACAATAATATCATGACAAAGTACGACAGATACAATAAATTTTGCTAAATCGATATAAAGTTTTAAAGCAAAAAAATTATTTATAGACTTTATTTGTTTTTATGGAAATTTTCTGTACTTATAAACATCCAACCAATCTTCAGGATCATTAGCACATTTAGGCCTTAAATCATAATATGGAAAATAATCTAAAGTTAGTTATTATTATTATGAAGAAGGTTTCTATCATCTCTTTGCATAAATCGTCCTGATGAACTTTGAAATAAGTTAAAGTTGTATTGATGTAGAGAGCTTCCATTAACATATCCAAATCTTTAGCGAGATGATTATCACTCATATCCAAGAAAGTTAAAGTAGAATTTTTACGAAGAACTTCAGCAAATACTTTTCCACCTTCAAACCCAATTTCATTCCTACTTATATTAAGATGAGTTAAGGTAGTATTTCTACAAAGAGCTTTTGCCAATTCACTCCCTCCTTCAACATAAAGATTATTGTCACTTATATCTAAGTGAGTTAAAGAGTTATTTTTTCGGAGAGCCTTTGCAAATTCTTTTCCTCCTTTAAAACTAAGTTTATTTTTACGAATGTTCAAGTAAGTTAAAATGGTATTCCTGCAAAGAGTCCTTGCCAACAATTGGCCACCTTTAGAATCAATTTTATTGTGACTAAGATCTAAGAAAGTTAAAGTAGTGTTTTTAAGAAGAGCTTTGGCTACAGCTTCTACTCCCTTAAAACCAAGTTGACAATAAGAAAGGTTTAAGGAAGTAAGTGAATTGCTTTCAGAAAGAACTTTGGCTACTACATCTAAAGTCATAAGTGTGAAATTACTATTAAGAGCCTCTGCTAGTACTTTTATTTCTTCAATATTTAAGTGAATTAAAGTGGTATTATTGCAAATTACTCCTGCTAATTCATTAATTAATTCACGACCCAGAGAATTAAAAGAGATATTTAAAGAAGTAATAGTAACGTTTTCACAAAGAACCTTTAAAAACGCCTTTGCACCTTCATAACCAAGCTTATTTTGACTAATATCTAAAGATGTCAGAGTGGTTGGTGTTCTTGTAAAGAACTTCGGCCAATATTTCACCACCATCGATTCCAAGGTCATTACTGCAAAGATTTAAAGATTTTAGAGGTTTATTCAAATAAAGAGCCTCAGCCAATAATTTTGCATCCACGGGTCTAAGATTATAATTATAAATTCTTAAAGAAGTCAGAGTGGTATTTTTGCAAAGAACATCAGCTAATATTTTCATGTTCAAAGAAGTTTCAGAAAAATTTAATAAAGTAATAGTGGTATAATTATTAAGAACATTTACTAATAACTTTATCGTATTAACATCAATATTATCACAAAATTTCAAATATTTAATTTTTTCATTTGTTCTTAAAAATTTTGTAATTAAAGAACTTTTAATTACATGGATCTTCGTTTCGAAGGTCTTATATATATGATCATATTCATGTTCCGAGTGAAGCTTGTTATTAGTTGAATGAAGCCAATTTATGATTCCATCTTGTAAATGATAGCAATTGATAATTGTAGCATAAGATGTGTAATCTAATAATGATTTGGATCATTTTGAGGTAGTATATTTAATTGTATCAAAGAAGTTTGTTCTTCGTCACTCAAGGATAAGAGATATGTTCGTATAAGTCACACCATTGGCGGTTTACAAGAAGGCACGAAAATAAGAATCCGCAATAATTTCTGAGGTTAATTAATATTGCTGAAAGTTGAAATTATTGAATATGCAATGATACGTAACTGGAAGTAAACTCATACGTATATCGTTATTAAAGCAGGTTTTTGATAAATTTACAAAAAAAGGGGCTGATTTATGATATACCGACCGATACGTAAATTAGGATAGAATTTTGGGGTAAAATCTGGTATGATACAAGATTGACCAAATTTATGAAGCTATAACCAAATTTATGAAGCTATAACCAAGTTTGACCAAATTTATGAAGATATAACGATAACAGATAAGTAAATTTTCTTTTATTTGTTATAAAAGGGAGACTTTACTCTTACAGTTACGTACTATTGTTTATAATTTTTAGTATCAGTGTGATTATGATAATTAATAAGAAATTTGATTTATCGTATACGTACGTATTAATAATGTATTATCATTGTCTTCGAAAAACATTATTTTGAAACAATGATTGTATTCGGGCTTTTAAAAATTTGCATCTGGAAAATGTGTACCAGGTTGGTGCGCCACAATGGCTTGATAGGTCAATTAAAAATAACTAGCTTCTAATGCTTAGAATAAATTTAAGACTAAAAACATTTAATTTGATAAAAATTAAACAGCCTTCTTAGCTTACTTTTTGTTTATTTTATTTTATTTTATATAATTTTAACTAGAGATGAGATTTAATATACATTTATCCCATCAAAATTTTTTATAGAACAATTATATAAGCTTCAATCCCATCAAAATTTTTTATAGAACAATTATATAAGCTTCAAGATTTAAATTTCAATACAGTTTTATTCTCATTTATTAATGAATATCATTAAGAATTTTGTTATCTTAGTGCTGCATGAAACAATTCGTACATTGATGCAAATT